GTGAGAAAATAACATGGATTAATGTGATTCACTTAGAGCATTGCGCTAGAGCAGTGGTTCTTAACCTTTGTTACTCGGATGCTTTTGAACTGCAACTCCCAGAAACCCCAGTCAGCACAGCAGGTGGTGAAGGCTTCTGGGAGTTGCAGTCATAAATGTTGGAAAATCCGTTTTTGAAAATATGTTACAAATATGAATTAAACATAGGTTAATAATTTCCCCATTAACTTCCCCATTAACACACGTACTTTGGTGCCTCGCAAGACAATGTTAATCTGTTACACAGAAATCGCTGTCTTGAAAAAACATCGTCTTGCAAAACCAAATTTCCCATAGGAATGCATTGAAAATTAATTAATGCGTTCCTAGGGGGGATTTTTTTAAGGCACTTAAGGGGTAGGGAGCTGGGGAAGCACCATGGGAGGACTGGCGGGGGTCCCCTCGCCATGATCGCCAGCTTTGGAGGTCCCCGAAGTGCTCTAAAGCGGGCGTGGGTGGTCGTACAGTGAAAAAGCCCCATTGGAACCATCGTTTTGCGATAGCTAAAAAGTTGTCAAGCGATTTCATCATCAAGCGGGGTCGTCGTAATGCGGGGCACCACTGTAGTTGAATTAGAGAACTTTCCAGAAAATTTGAAAGGAATTTGTCAGAATTTATAAAAAAGGAAACATATATTTAGATTAAATGGTTGGCTAGGAAAGATAAATTCCAAAGATAAAATAAGGATAATATTAGAAGGTGAGAAAATAACATGGATTAATGTGATTCACTTAGAGCATTGCGCTAGAGCAGTGGTTCTTAACCTTTGTTACTCGGATGCTTTTGAACTGCAACTCCCAGAAACCCCAGTCAGCACAGCAGGTGGTGAAGGCTTCTGGGAGTTGCAGTCCAAAACTCCTGAGTAACCCAAGGTTAAGAACCAGTGCACTAGAGAACGGGGAAAAATAATGCCAAATGCAGGGAGTTGACAAAGTTTGAGGAAATCATAATTCAAAGGGAGAAGGGAAAGCATAAGCCAAGGAAAGGTGTGGTAGGTACAATTTAGAAAATATTGTTAAGGGTAAAAAAATAATCAAGAAGTTCATAAAACGCATGGGAAACAGATTTGCCTAAGGAAATACGTATCGCTGTGTTGATTAGTATATGGGGGGGAAGGAATTTTAAAGTCCATGTCTATGAGAATAAAAGAAAATGTTTATAAATTGATTTGAAGATAGTATTTGACACCTGTGAAATTAAAATTATAGATTCTAAATATTCTAAATCACTGGTTCTTAACCTTGGGTTACTCAGGTGTTTTGGACTGCAACTCCCAGAAGCTTTCACCACCAACTGTGCTGACTGGGGTTTCTGGGAGTTGCAGTTCAAAAACATCCGAGTAACAAAGGTTAAGAACCACTTTTCTAAATTGTGTCAGAGGATATATGTACTTATTTACAAATGTGGTGTGAGTGTGTGTATGATTATTGACATTTTGGAAGTTGGTATTTAAAGAAATTTTTAAAAATGCAAAAGGAATGTTATAGGTTCCTCCAAATATTGCATTATTATCTAGCTTTGATGAACAGTAGGATTCAGCAAAAAAATTAATTATTAATATGATAGCAGCCAGATTAGTGATTGAGAAGAACTGGTATGCTAAATATATGTTTCAATTAAGTGAAAGGAACAATGACATTTGGGAATTAGCAATTAATGACAAGTTGACATGTGACATAAGTTTTCAAAATGGATTATTCAAGGTGCGTAGACAATTTTATAAACTTTGTGGAATTCTTATGTCATTAAATAAAGATACAAATTTAAAATTCAAATATTATTACGTTACACACCATATTCATTGTTTTATATACCTGTGCTTTTTTCTTCTTGCAGACTGCACTTTCCAAAGGAGGAGTTTCTGATCCAATAGCATCAGCAATATCCCCTAGTCCAACATCATGACCATGTTTTGATCCACTTTCTCTCTTTGTATGAATGCCAAAAATATCTGACAAGATGTCACTTTCTCCTTTTTCATTTTTTACAAACTGAACAATTTCAGCTGTAATGCCGTGTTCTGTAACTTCAATTTTCTCTGCTTCGAGGACGTCATCATGAATTCCAAACTGTGTTGGATCAGGCATGTCTCCTAGAATTTTGGTAACTCTTATATTTTTTGCTACTTCCACTAAACCACCCCCAAATACAGTGCTCCACAGAATCTGGAAAACACCCCACAATATAGTGAGAAACGTTTGGAAGATTCCTACAAATAGGATCCAGAAAAAAGATAAAGACACTTTCACCAATTCTTTCATAGTCATTTTTTTCAGTTTTCTATACTGTTTTCTTAAGTTTTTCAGTCTGATCATCTTTAAAATTGTGGCAGCATTTTTCTTCAGTGCAACACATGCCATTGCAAAAGCTGAAGCTGATTCGAGGGATTGTTCTTCTTTCTCATCCTCCCCAACTTCCCTCACATAGCAAGGTTCATCCTCCTCTTCTTCAGGTCTGTCAACTGTGTCTGATTCAGAAATCTGAGATGCCAGCTGCATTTCAAAAATTGTGTCCTCACAGAAGTTTACAAAAAGTTCCATTTTTTCTTGTTCGCCACCTTCATTTACAACATCAAAAATAAACTGCCTTTTTGACTCTTTAACTTGAGGCTTTTCCCATTGTGTTCTACTGGATTCACTGATCTCAAAATAAACCCGTTCTATCTTCTTGGCACCACCCATTATCTCAATGCGCCCCAAATAAGGTTCAAAATAGTTAAGTACACTTTCTGCTGGATCTAATAAAGTTTGAAGTCTTGAATCATTTGGCATGTGCTCTGAAAGATTTGTTAAAAGTACAGCCACATTAAAGCCAATATCTTTGGCTGGTTTATGGAATCTTTCAACAAAATCAACATAATTAAACATGTCATTTTCATCAGTTTCTGCACAGGACAACAGGAACTCAATCTCTGATTGTGTATATTGCTTTTGACCTTCCATGGCTTTCTGGAATTCCTTCTTTGAGATTATGCCTTTACCTTCTGGGTCGTACTCTTTGAAGGCTTCTGAGCTTGTTAGATCTTTCAACTTGAGAAACATGTCAAAGAACTTCAAGATCATTTCTACGTTGCTAGATGATTCAACCAGAGTGTCCACCATCTGTTTCCCAATTGTGCCATTTACAACATTACCTACATTGCAAATTTAAATAATGTTAGTTAAACAGAGATGCAAAATATAATTATTCAGTATCCCATCTTCAGAAATAGTCTGAATTTTTTTTTCATGCTTATACTTTCCATTTAAATGTAAACTAATCAATATCTTTCTTCAATATAACTTATGGCTAGTTCTTATTTAAATTTACCAAGCAGAATTACTGCAATGGGTTTAACATAAACTAAACTAAACTGTGGTCTGTTGATCATAATGAGGAAAATATATGCATATAAAATTAAGAATAAATTTATATATATATATATTTTAAATTACGGCAATGTTTTAATTCCACAGCAGTAAATGCAAGGGAGAAAAACAACCTTCAAGTAGTGACAAAAGCATGACCACCATATCCTTCAGGAGATCCAACAGCTCCTTCAGCAATTCAATCTGACTGGAGTCCTGGAGTGCAAATAAAGAAAGTATGTTTACAGATCCTAACCAGAGACAATAAGGACAATTCAACAAATATTTAGGTAAATATAAACCAAATGAAACCAATAGCTTGTTGTCCTAACTATGTGCTGGAGTGTGGGCAATAGATAGAAGACAGCATTCCAGGGGAAAAAAAAATCAAAAACATAAGAAAGCTGTTCTTTACCAAGCCATATTACGGTATTTGTCTATTTGATTCATTATAGTTATATTATAATCTAGCAGTTCTCAGACACACATCTATCATAGCACTTGCTGTATGTTCCTTTTAATCAGAGATGCTGGTGATTAAACTTGAGCCATCTGCAAGAAAAAGCACTTCAGGGGCCAAAATAAATAAGGCTGCAATACTATGTGGCCAGACGACAGAAGAAAAATCCCCTCTAAGGCTGAAAACTGATCTTGGAGAGGAAGAACCAATTTCAGATGCCATGCCCTGCCCCTGCAAATCTTACCATTGCCCTTCCTCCCCAGTGTCAGAGTTCTGATGCAGGAGACACAAGAGAAGTATCTGGATTAGGAGTTTGGCAGCAAGAAAACAGGGAAGGTGCTGAAAACACAATAAAGACCTCTCATCCCTTCGCTACACTTTCTCCAACAAGAAGACAAAGATTTGGTCTAAATGTTTCCTTCCCATAGCTTGTGAGTGGAGGCAAATAGTTTAGATTATTTGTTTTGCTTCAGACTTTCTTTCTTTCTTTCTTTCTTTCAGAAAAGAAATGAGGGAAAGGAGGAGAAGAAAGTGATTCCTTCCTTCCATTCATCAGAAACATAGTTTCACATAGGAAATATCTGTGGGCTCTGCCCTCTGGGTGTTGTAAATTAGTCCTAGGCTTGGCCTGTAAGCAGGATTCCTGGATTAGGGTTGTTCTCCTAAAAGGACTTAGAATTGACACAGAAAAATCATGATTCATTAGGCTGAAGCCAGAGATGCTCTGGGGAGGATTCAGCTCAACAAATACCAAGGTCAACACCATGAGTACTCACCTGGAGGACTGACAAGGAGGGACACCACCAGCCAGCCTCCGTTTTGGGATGTCTTCTTTCCAGATGCCCTTGCACAGGGGAAGGGTTCCAAGGCAAGCATTGTTGGATGCCCTAGTTGGGATGCCCGTGACACTTTGAGAAGGAGCTCCCAGCATGGCCTGGCGGGGACGTAAATTATGCCCTGGGCCCCTTCTTCCAGCAGTCACCACATGAGCTTCTCCCACCCACCTACCCTTGTTTTCTTTGATAATTTTATCTCAGGTAGTAGTATGGTATTATTACTTGTACACCACATATGCCATTTCTTAGTTGGCAGTATAGAAAGATTTTCAACATAGGAGCAGATCTGTGGTGAGGGAGGTGGGCATTTGGCCCTATCCCAGGAATGTGAATCTCCCTTTTTCTGTCGGGAGGCATTGAGTGGGGAACTGATGGGGGCAGGGCCAGCTTGGGAGTGCTGCCAGAGTTCTCCAAAGTAGAAACCAAAAATCTCTCCCCCATCCTAGTGGATTCACCTCCAGGGGAATACACATCCCTTGTAGGTTACCAGCTCTGTTTTTTACCAAGAAATATGTTGGGATGGTGGATACTGGATGACAGGCGAGTCACCTGATATGGATCATCTCCTTCTGCTGTGTCAGTTCAGTGGCTATTTTTAAGCCACTATCTACGTATCTTCTGTAATAAAGCTTCTAATGTTAGCAAGGTGTTTGTCTTAATTGATGAACTGGAGGGGCTGGGGGCGTCCCAGGATTTTCTCGCCTGGGCCTATAACTCCTACTCACAGAAGGACACAGGGCAATTATCACTTATACACTCTTCTTCCTCAAGCCATCCCTTTCCATGGATCGAAGGATGTCTTCTATTTGTGGAAAGGTTATTCTGGACACAAGCCTTCTTATTGTTTCCTTTATTGTTTATGGTTCTTACACAAAGCTTCAAGCAGGAAATTAAAATTCCATCATAGAGGGTTTTTTTTGTTTTTTTTTTATTGGTTGCTGTGAGTTTTTCGGGCTCTTTCTTTTGACTCTTTGAATTCTTTAAAAAAATTATTCACTGTATTTTTAAATTCAATTAAAGTTAGTCTTCCCATTTGTTTCTCTGCTAGGTTTTTACATTTTACTTCCTATTTCCAATACTAAAGGCGTTTAATGACTTGTGTTTTAGTTAATGGTTAGAAGACAGATCTGTGGTACATGATATGGCCTGTCTCTTCACTTGAACCTTGGCAGAAAGGTTGAATTTTGATATGGAAGTCTGAAACCAGAGTACAGTTAGAAAGGAGAGAGCAAAGAAGCATCCAAAATTTTCATCCAGTAACAAACTAATATAAAGACCGTTTGACTGGAGTGATGTATCATTCAACCAGGATACATAGTCAACCTGTCCTGGAAACAAAGGATAGGTTGCATTTGAATGGAAAAGGTACAGACAATGTTGAGTAGGGTGGCTTCCACCAAAATACTTCAGCTGAACTTTGGGAGGTTCTGAAATGTGTTAATGATCTCTTTGCTTTCTTTAAATAGTTAAAAATTCTCTCAAAATAAAAAAGCTGGGTCATTCTCTCATTTTCTAGTTTTCCATCACAGCCATACCAAACTGAAGCTCTGCTTACCTCTTTAGAGGGAAAATTATTTTTCTTTTAGGTTTCCCACTTTAGCTTTGCTATTAAATCTTATTACCGTAGGCGTTTATCATATTGACTGGAGTGATGTATCATTCAACCAGGATACATAGTCAACCTGTCCTGGAAACAAAGGATAGGTTGCATTTGAATGGAAAAGGTACAGACAATGTTGAGTAGGGTGGCTTCCACCAAAATACTTCAGCTGAACTTTGGGAGGTTCTGAAATGTGTTAATGATCTCTTTGCTTTCTTCAAATAGTTAAAAATTCTCTCAAAATAAAAAAGCTGGGTCATTCTCTCATTTTCTAGCTTTCCATCGCAGCCATACCAAACTGAAGCTCTGCTTACCTCTTTAGAGGGAAAATTATTTTTCTTTTAGGCTTCCCACTTTAGCTTTGCTACTAAATCTTATTATTTCCCTGATTTTGCTCTTTTTATTCATTTAAAGAACCCAGTGTTTGATCAGTACATATTTGTATGAAAAATGCATCCTCTCATAACTCTGTAAGTTATAATACTTCACAGAACACAAATCAAAGTATGTTTTAATAGTCACTGATGCACTGATCATCTGTTGTTTTTCTCAAAATCTAAGGTCAAAGTAGTGTACCTTTCAGTACATGCAGAAAAAAAGGAGATGAATCAGTCAATACCCAAAGGAAGTAGAATGAAATAAGGCAGATGTGAATAGCTCGTTCACAGTGACTTGTGCCATTTAGTGCAGGAAAAGATTGTGGTTTGCTTCTATGTCCCTTCATGGGTCATGTGTTATATTTATTACAACTTCGTAGACATCTAGCAGTGAGCAAGTAAAGCTCAGTATTTGTATTACACAAATAAAGGCCCATAACAAAATGTTTTGTGAATTAGTGTCTCACACAGCTCCACATTTCTGAGGCTGTTGCACCTCCTTCCCTTGTGTCATTCTTCTTCTTTCCCATTTTGCACCCTTCCACCTTTTCTTGCTTTATCAGTTGTCTTGCCATTTCCTCATTCACCCAGTTCATTGCTTTGTTTATTGTTTTGTTTACAGTATTTCGCTCTCCTTCCCCTCACCCCCACTGCTGCTATCTTTTTCCTTTTATTTTAGCGTCCATTGTTATATCAGTTTTTCTGTCCCCTGCTCCTTTGCCTAATAGTTATTCTGGTTTGTGCCTTTGCCAATTCCCCTCTGTCCCCTCTGTCTGTGCTCCAGCCTTCTTCATTTAACACATGCACATACACACACTAGCACACGATTGTTCCTCACCTTCATGCTTCCTTTTCCATGCGGGCAACAAAATGTTTGCCAACAGTCTCTAAAATGCTTTTGTAACCTTACTGGTCCTTTGACCCAGGTCAAGTTCCACTGGATTTTTATGACAACAGATCTTGATAAATCAGGTGCATGCTGCATGCATGCACAGTTGTGTTTTAGTCTTTTAAGGGAGAGTTTGCCTCCTATGGGGTTTCACCTTCTCTTGTCAAGATTTTTTCCTTTTCATACTAGATGGTATCATCAAAAAAGCGTCATTAAGCCTACAATACCTCCTTTTTGTGAATGTATGTTGTTATTCTTCCATAGGTACCAGCACTTACCCCATGAAGTTCGGAAATTTAAAAAGACAAGTTAGTAAAACTAAGAAAAATTAATATACATGTTGATCACTCATTACATTTTGGTATTTTTATATATGCAGGCAAGCAACCAAACTGCTCTCTTTCAACAGAAATATGGTAACTGTAATGACCATTTAAAATATATATAAACATGTATGTACTTTGTTTGCTGTTTTTCATTACAGTGACTTGTTTAATGCAGTGACCCGTTTCCAGCTTCTAGTGCTTCAGTCCTAACTTAGTATATTAGTCCCCTCACTGCCTCTAAGCAAGAAGTCTTGGTGTCAAATTCCTTGTATAAAAATAAAAAAAAAATCAGGATTGAATACTGAAATTGGGGTCCAAGGGTTAGAGACAGAAGAAGAAAAGAATGTGTGGTCCTTGATTCAAATTAAAGCTAATATAGAAAAACACAATAGATGTTATTTCAGTGAGGTTTTAGAAATGGTATACCTATTACAAGAGTTGGATTATCAAGAACAATCTTACCTATTTGCATAACAAGAGTTTGAATAATAAGACCAGTCATTAATTCCACAGATTATGACTTAGGTTTATGTTCTCAGTGCATAAAGTGCTTAGTTTTATGCTCCAATTCTCTTTTATATTTATGGAGTATACACAGCAAAGTTTTCCCTTAATACCTGAGAAAGTTTCATTTGCATGTTAGCAAAAACATGAAGGAATCCAACAACTGCATCCCACAATCTACTGTGTGCCAAGCTCTGCTGGTTTCCAATGCAAGGTCCCTGAAATAAAGGGGGATATAAATTTAAAGTATGCATTCCAATACTCCTATACATAGTTTCATACACATTCCAGTCAAAAGAGCAGTTTTAATTAATTTCCTATTAGAATTTGCGATCGCTAAGGCAAAAGGGAAAACAGAACAGTTTTTCCAGTTCAGAAAATACGAATTATGATTGAAGTAGGGATGTGACAATAAACAGCATACCCAGGTGATAGAAGCCATGCAGAAAGAAGACATGCTGCAGCAGAAGCAGAACTATAATCTTTCTGAATGCAAATACTGTGTATCTAAGAACTAGACAGAGCGCGCTTGGTATCACTTTGCTACAACTGAGCCAATAGGATAGATTTTATCTCTGTCTCTGATCTAAGTTACTGATGAGAACAAACAGCACTCTTAAGAGGATTTAACAGATGGCTGGAGTGATGTAAAATTTATTTTTTCTACTCATAAAAAGAGTAACACCTACACACTCATTACAACCTCTACACCTGGTAGTTATCATGAAGTTCTACTGAAAGCAGTCATTGCTTCCTTGCTGCCTTCAGAAGAACGTTTTACGTATCTGTAACTGTGTTTTTGAGAGGTCATCTGTGAACTCACACCAATGGGCTTTCCTGTGCCTGCACAGAACACTTCAGAACATTTCCAAAGCTCAGGTGAAGTATTTTGGTGGGAGTCATTCTACTCAGCATTGTCTGTGCCTCTTCCATCCAAAATCCAAGTCCACCATGGATAATAATAGCAAAATATTGACATCAAACTGAGGAGGTAAGTTCATGTGAGTTCACAGATCATCACTCAAAGGACCACAATTACAGGGAAACAATCTTTTCTTATTCATGGTCTCTGTGAACCACTAACGAGAAAACAGCAGGCTCACCTGATGGAGGAAGAATGGAAATTACTGTACCAGTGAGGACAATATAGCTTACCAAAACATGCATCCCTCTGGGACACTTATTCTGCAGTGCCATATAAAACGTAGACAGTTGCGTTGCTCTGCAATTTCTGACATTGGGACACCCCTCAGAAAAGTCACTGATGTAGGTAAGAAGCAAATAGGCCAACAATGGAGAGTAGTAGTAAGAAATTTGTTAGTTTGATTTTAGTTACCACCCTATTCAGAAGAGTACACGAAACAAAGTAGAAGTCCTGTGTTAAGCTTTTCATAACACACTAAGATTTATTTGAGTGTATTGCCAAGATATTGAAATGAATATACAGAAAGTAAAGCCTGGAACACTTTCTACAGGAGATTTGGGATTAAAGTTAGTATTATCAAGTCTTGAACTAAATGGAAAGTTGGGGGAAGTAAAAAAAAAGAAACATCCAGACAAAATGTAATTTTGTCCTTATGAAAAATTAAGTAAAAAGAACAAAGGGAGTAAAAAAACACTCCCTAACCGATCTAGCCAAAGCCAAAGCAACCAAGAAATTGACCTTTATGGGCAGAAGTCTGAAGTCCACAGTGGCTAAGGGTTTCAAGGCTTAGCAGTATGTCTTCTGTTGAACTCTAGGCTGCAGGCTATGGAGGTAAAGATGGAAATGGATTTTAGGTGCTTTTAGGAAGCAATTGACATCTGGATGAGTGACACAGGACTGGATAAAAAGCAGACAAGTACAAGCTGAAATGGCAACCAGATAAACACAAAGAGATGACCTCATAAGCCCCTTCTGTAGTAAAGACATAAGAAAATTAAGAATGGAAAAAACCTCCTTAAAATTAAATGCTGAGTCAAATACCTCCCTAAGTATCTGAAAGGCCTTCTCCTAGCAAATATGGAAGGAATATATGTTTTCTGGGTGTATCTAAGACAGCAAGGGGCTCTGGGGTATAGGCAAACCTTGAAACAAAATTGTTCACACTGCATGGTAAACATGTGGGTTTGATTGTGGGGTGATGTCAAAAAGTTGTCAGACAGTGGGAGAATGCAGATGCCAATCATATACTGAAGAAAAGATTTTTTAAATAACAACAAAGCTGTGTAGTCCTTATACAATCCCCAGACATCTTCCATGACTTTTGGAAATTTCATATGCTTTTTCTTCACCACCTGTAATATATTGGTGTCCAGCCTGATGAAGACATGG